CACCAACCTCCATCCAGATCATGTTGCTAACTTCAGGTGGAGTTTCTCAATGGTAACACTTTTGCTCATATTCTCAGTACCTGGGTCCACAAAGATCGACACTTCGTGAATCTCACTTACCGATGCTAAAACATGATTCACTTCTTGCTCCTATGCTTTGTTTTTCAAATTCAACCTCTACTTCATCCAACAACATTCTGTTGATGGAAAAATGATGCCAATGGTGGACCTGCTTCCGTTTTCACCCCTCTTCCTTGCACTTGAACTATCTCTCTTTCCATTTACTGCTCCTATTGCTTTTGGGGCATGGAGGAGCTCGAGCTCACTCACTGATTTCTTTCTCTTCACCCTACCCGAGAATGAATCATCTTTCATTGATGCTGTTAGGGAGGATGAACACTTTATGTGCACTTTTGAACAACATGAATATCATGTCTGAACCCCGCTTGATGAAGTAGCAGTTTTACCAGCATCATTGAAAGAACCGCTTTTTGCTTTATATATGGGGTAAGATTTACGTCGGCTTACCTTTTTGTGGCAGTTGTACTCACTATAGACTTCATATCATTTTCGCATGAAGGGGAGAAAAAACAATCTTTCAACTCGGATTTACTAAACCAATTCTATCCTGTACTTTCATATTCCTTGTATCTAACAAGACTACGATTGACAAAAGTCATTGCCTTTCCTTCTACTACTTTACTAGCACTTTTTCTCGAGGAATTACAACCTCTGTTAGCCATCATCTTTTTGTATGTTGTGATGAGAAGTAGGTTTATTTCTACCTACTCGTCGTTCTTTTTCTTCTCTTGACTTTCACGCTGAATGGTTTCATCAATTTGACTCAAGATTTTTGTCTTCATTATACCATGTTTCTCCAGCTCAACTTTAAGTTTCATAATTTCTTGATCAATAGATTTTTCCTCCAAGGGTGGGGAAGGCCTGGTGTTTAGAGGTATGCCAATGCTCTGTAGCTCCATTCGTATTCTATCATCAAGCGGAAACGTTTGATATCAGGAATTGCAGGATGATATATAAGATGTGCCAAGCTTTAAAGAAAATTTTGAACCAGAATCCTCTCTGGAAATCACAAGAAAATCTCCTCTAGTTAGAAATGGCTAGCAACCATTTGATGAACTCTCATTGCAATGGGATGAACTTGATTCACGTTGATTACTTTGAGTATGAGATGCAATATTCCTATTACTGGAAACTTCATCCAGCAAAGCAATTATCAGGAGCTCAAAAATCCACTCCCAACTCAACTTTAGTTAAGAATTCGTTACAGTTATTTGGATCATTCGCTTGACCATGGTTCACTTGATGTTATGGCGAATGATTCAAATAGTTGTAACGGAGTATTAACTGAAGTTGAGTTGGGAGTGGACTTGCAATCTCCTGATAATTGCTTGCTGGATGAAGTTTCCTATAATAAGAATATTGCATCTCATACTCTAAGTAATTAATGTGAATCAAGTTCATCCAATTGTAATGAAAGCTCATCAAATAGTTGCTTGCCATTTCCGGCTAGAGGAGATTTTTCTGTGATTTAAAAAAAGGATTCTGGTTCAAAAATTTCTTCCAAGCTTGGCACATCTGATATATCATCTAGTTCCCTGTATCAAAAGATTCCCTGGATACACTGGTGCCGGAACCTCCAACTGGAAATTTGGATTCTAAAAAAGGGGATTCAAATAATGAAGAGTGCATTTAGAGATGAATAATGAGGAATGTGTCAACAATTTAATCTATTAAACTCATGCTTTTGTTATGTTATTTGTTATTGTTTTTACTCATATTTTGCACTTTGTTTTTAATCAAATCAATTATTTATATTTTGATGTTATATTATTATTATTATTATTATTATTATTATTATTATTATTATTATTATTATTATTATTATTATTATTATTATTATCATCATCATCATCATCATCATCATCATCATTATTATTATTATTATTATTATTATTATGCTAATATTACACACAATTGGAAACTATTATTCATGCCATTTTTCATTATTCATTTTGTACTATTCTTTATTTCGTAGTTTTTATGTAATGGCATTTTTCACTTCTCAATAATAGTTTTTATGTAATGGTATTTACCTTAATTTAGTACTAATTTGTAATATTCAGTTATATTTTCAAAATGTAATCACACTTTTCCTTTATATATTCGAAATGCAATCATACGGACTGTTACAAATCATTTACGGATGTGGTGCCATTTTTGCCAATTATTTGTAAGATTTTTCCAATTTGTATAATTTAACAAATTGATCATTTTTAATAGATATAACTGTTTTAATAATTTATATTTATATACAAATTATATAAAGCTTATTTTGTGACCAAGTATTGCACCATATGTATAGTACTATTCAAATTTATTAAAAAATTTTGAAAATTAAATAATTTAAAAATCTAAATTTATGTATGTAGTTTCCGGTTTTGTCTGTTTTAATTTACACAATACAACCTATGTAGTTTCCGCTTTTTAATATTTTGCTGCTTATAATAAAATAATTCACTAAAGATTTTTGTGCAAGTAAATAATCCGTAATTTTTTCCTTCTTTTATATAACTAATTGTATAATTTATATATACAATTTTCCCCAACTATAATAAACTAATAAACTAATATATTAAAATAATATTAATTGGTTTTCCATCAAAGTTAATTTCAATGAATTGAAAACCTATCCATTTTTTTGAATTCATTAGATGAGAATTTTGTGAGGAATGTAAATAATGATAATAATAATAATTATGATGTAATTAATGGGAGAGTTATAGTTAGGCACATGGTGGTCATGCGAGGGATCCGTGTCATCACAAGCTTATCGCCTCCCAACTTCTGGTAGTTATGGACGTAAAACAATAATATGATTTTATAACCATAATAAATATTAATTAGGTAATCATATACCATGTATATTAACTACTATGGTATTAAATAATTTTAATTAGGTATTATCCAATATATTAGGTATGATTATTTAATGGTATGCATGGTATTAAAAATAATAATAAAGTATGCTATTATGTATATAGTAATATTTGGGTATGGTATTATCTTGTGTTTGCCAGAAATAAATCAATCAATTGAAAAAAAAATATTTTAGCGTGTGCACCTATGTATGCTAATCATATACATGGTATTAAAATCAATTTTAATTAGATATTACCGTCTATATTAGGTATGGTATTAAATAATTCTAATTAGGTATTATCATGCATATTAGGTATGATTATTTTATTTACCGTGTACACCTATGTATGATAATCATATACTGATATACATGGTATTAAAATCAATTTTAATTAGATAATACCATCTATATTAGGTACGGTATTAAATAATTTTAATTAGGTATTACCATGCATATTAGATATGATTATTTAATTTACCGTGTACACCTATATGTATGTTAATCATATACATGGTATTAAAATCAATTTTAATTAGATAATACCGTCTATATTAGGTATGGTGTTAAATAATTTTAATTATAGATTACCATGCATATTAGGTATGATTATTGAATTTACCGTGTATATCTATGTATGCTACTCATATACGTGGTATTAAGGGTGTGTTTGGAAACACGGAAAATGATTTCTGAAAATCATTTTCCAGATTTCCAGTGTTTGGCAAGAAGGAAAACACTAAAGTCAATGGAAAATGAATGGATTTTTACGGAAAATGACTTCATTTTTTGCGAAGCTGTTGGTACGAGAAGTGATTCTTTGCGAAGCTGCTCTGCCAATATCGCAACTTTCCCATCTTTTCTTCTCCAAGATTTCTCCATAATCCTATATATAATAAAGCCATATGGTCTTGTGAAAATTAAATGGTGATCATCAACATTTAATTTTCACAAGACCATAATAATATTGTTAATTGTTAATTATAATAACAATAACAATAATAGTAATAATAATTGCAATAATAATAATGATAATAATTTCCACTGACAGTTTCTAATATATAAATATATATATATATATATATATATATATATATATATATATATATATATATATATATATATATATATATATATATATTTATTTATTTATTTATTTATTTATTTATTTATTATATTTATTTATATTTCAATTTCTATTGGCAAATTATTGTGTGAACGATGGTCCACATAATTGTAGGGATCATGAATATCAAATACATTTTTAATATATTAAAAATACATTATTTTTATATTGAAAGTACCTTACATACATATATAATGTAACCTTAGTAATTTAAAATATACTTTTTATTTCATGCAACCCCAAAGTTCATAAGTTTGAAATTAATATATGGCATAGCTAGGCGGTCTAATATTTAAGATTGTTGATGTGCATATTGAAGACTACGGAGACAAAGTTGCGTTATTCGTGGATTCATCGGATACTATCCAACAACACTCTCCAACTTAATTGACATGAAGTAGGCTTAGTAACATTAAGATTATATTCTCGAATTATTAGTTCTCATCTTTTATTGATTACACACTTAATTCGATAGTATTTGGAAGAAAAAATCAATGTTCGAACTAAGATTGTGATTTTGGTCTTTAAAGGTCAATTGTACGTTGCTACATTTAGAGTTAGAAATCCCAAAGGTCTAAAAATTTTGATCCGTGGAGACTCTAAAATTGTAATTCAATTACTATTATAGTTTACTAAGTTCTTAAAAATTTGTAATATTAAATACTATGTACTAAATTTTTAATATAGTTTAAGATTTGTAGTAATCACCCACCTTAAATATTATTTTAATTGTAAATATATTTATGTTCATAATTTTATCATAGTAATTCACACATAATAATTATTAAATAACAAAAATTTTATATATGAATAAACCTCCTATAGGGTATATTTTTATAACATATTTTCCGTGCATCGCACGGGACAAATACTAGTAATAATAATAATAATAATAATAACAATAATAATAATAATAATAATATAATTGAATTGTTTCTATCGTGTGACTATCGTGAATTTCATGCTATTTCCAATCGATTCTTTAATCTCATTGGGCATACAACACTCCTATGTCAACCAAATAAACATTAAAGTAGATAATATAAAACTGATAAAATAATTAACATTGTAAAAAATAAGTGGTGATTTCACTAACCTCAGAATATTTCACCTTTAACTCAATAGCAGTGACCCCTAGTAGAGGGGTACACACATTATCCCAAAGTTTTAGTTGACCATCTTGATCATCATCAAGGATATCAATCACCAATTTATATTTTATGATTCCATCTGACCACTGTTTGTTATATGGTTTGCAATACATTTTGTCCTCACTTTGTTGAAGTTTCTTCCCACAGTTCTTATTTGTACATGTAGTGAAATACCAATCGTTTTCAATATCACGAATTTCTCCGAACACCCAAAGTTGTCCAACCTACAAAGTTTATTAAAAACACCTCAAATCATGAGTTGTATGTTAAAAGGAATGTAATACAAATTTAGTTTAAATGACTGTGACGTTCTTTTCGTCATGAATATCCTTTAAAGAACTGATTGTGATATTATGATTCGACATAGCTCCAATAGATCCGCTTCCAATGAGTCTGGAAGTTGAGCTTATACTCCGCACATGAGTAAAGAAGCTAGGCAAACTACTTAAAACAAATATGTTGTAATCGTTCAAGATGTTATCGATTGCATATTATACGGCGTGGCCAAATTAAAATGCGTCAATACCTCTCCTTAAAACTGAAAAACTCAGGACATTCGTAGTTGAACAAAATCTTAGTTGCCGTATAAGAACTGGAAATCTTGACCTCACCATCTAATATAAAAAATAGTTTTAAATACGTATATTTGACAAAAATAAATTAAAATCTACCATTGTATTATTACTCGCCTTCAATCATCCTTGCCCTACACAATTGAAGTATAACAATCAATGGATCTGTTAAAACAACATTATAGAACGGCAACAACGAATCCACATGCTCGTCCCACAGGGTTATGCTGAATCGACTTTCCCTGAATTAACAGAAATTGATTTCGTAATAAAGGCTATATATTTATATTTAATTATACCAATAAAGAAGTCATAAAAATTTTACAAAAATACATACCTATAATCCTCAATGACAAAATCAATCAACCTTTGAGAGTTTTGATGAACATGAATAACTTTAGGCTCATAATTAAGGCTATATATTTATATTTAATTATACCAATAAAGAAGACTTAAAAATTTTACAAAAATACATACCTACAATCCTCAATGACAAAATCAATCAACCTTTGAGGTTTTTGATGAACATGAATAACTTTAGGCTCACAAATCGAAACTACACGACCAATCAAATCTGTGGGAAAAAAATAGAATCGGAAAATTGCAAAAAGAAATGACATAGTTTTATATGAAAGAGTAATAAAAAGAACAATATGTACAAAAGTTGTTGCAATGATCTTAACAATTAATTCGTTACAATCATCACCCCTGGAGCCTTCAAGGACCCAAAGTCCTTAAATATAAACATGTTTTTTTGGAAAAAATTAAATCATCTTGATCCGAGACTTTAATCATCGTGTCACTGTTTGCTTTCATAATGAATTTGTGCTGACGCGTCTTAAACCTCATGCGATATGTGTGCACAATGAAATTCTCAATGTCATACACTTTTAAACAGTAGCAAATTTGTCCACATATTCTTTTGGGATTTGTAGATGTATGCATATTCCCTACAGAAATCATTCATTAATTACAATTGATAAATAGATATTGAATAAAAGAGAAAAAACTATGGTGCAAATAATTTATAAATTAAATACATACCTTATAATCATGAAATAAGCATTCCAATGTTTGGTGGTGCAGTGGCGTGCATTGATATTCTCTAGAAAAATAGCAGCATATTAACCTAAGGCATATAGATGTTTTTGTAGTTCTAAGAGAGAGATCGGATATAGAAAGCTAATTAGACTACATGGGAATTCAACCTAGACCGATGCACCACTACTGGAAATTATGAAATTTTCGACCACCTAAAAGTGATCTTAAATCAAGTCAAAAGCCTTGTTCCGACCACTTTTGGTATTCGGAAAAATCTTTGTTGCTATTTCCGACCACGTTTTGCTTTCGACTTGATTTAAGATCATTTTCAGGTGGTCGGAAATTTCATAATATCCAGCAGTGGCAGTATTGTGTATGGGTTTTAATATGTAGGTAGATGAGGAAAACGTAGTATTGAGTATTGTGTATTGTGTACTGTTTTTATAAGAAAATTTGAGTGAGAGTTGTAGCATATATAGGGGTGGGTACTTCGGTTCGGTTTATCCGAACCGAATCGAACCAAACTAGTAATAGAAAACCGAATGGTTCGGGATTTTGTAACCCGAATGGTTTAGTACCAAACCGAACCGAACCGAACGCTATATTATTTTTTAATAAATAATAATAATAATAATAATAATAATAATAATAATAATAATAAATTAATAATAATAATAATAATAATAATAATAATAATAATAATAATAATAATAATAATAAAGAAGTAAATCCAAGTTCCTTGATGCTTGCTCCACCGTTCAGTTCTCATTCTTACTGGTACCGAATCTTAAATTTTTTATTTGATTTCTTTAAAGCTTGTTTTCTACATTGCACTGTTGTTGTTTGTCGCAATTGTTCTTTACCTCACAATTATATCTAACTTGAGTTATATTTACAATATTCAGTATTTTCCTTAGTTTCATGTTTTTCTATAAATTTAATGTTCTTTACAGTCATTCTAATTTTGATATCCAGTGCATTATAATTATTTTCTAGTACTGGAATATATTTCTAGTGCACTAGCAATGACATATTGTGTCCAAAAATTAACTATATAGTAATTGACACTTGTTCTTTTAATATCAACTATACAGATTGATGATTATTCATCTTATCAATAAAAATATTCCAACTGAATATTTTTATTTGATGTTTCTTGTTCGTACTCTTTAAACATTGGATTTGAAGTTTGAACTACGTGATTCATGTTTGTAATGTTTGAACTTTGAACTTTGGATTCAAATTTCTAAGTATGTGATGTTTTAGTAATTAGATTGCTATTAGTATGTGATGTTAGTATTTATTATTTAGTAGTATGTTTAAAATTTGAATTATTATTTTGTTATATAACGTTTATATTTTAGATGTGGATTATGTGAATATGTATTGTTTGGAAAATTATGAAATGTTGAAATTTGATGATCGTAATTCTCGTAAAGTCTTAAACCGAACCGAAGGCCGAACCGAAACTAAACCGATTGAAACCGAATCGAAGCCGAACCGAACTATAATGTTAAACCGAATGGTTCAACTTTTCTAAAACCAAAAAACTGTAACCGAAAAAAACCGAATCGAAGACCGAAGTGCCCAGCCATATATATATATATATATATATATATATATATATATATATATATATATATATATATATATATATATATATATATATATATATATATATATATATATACATCAATATACATGGTAATTTGCATATGACATTATGAAAAATTATTCTTTAATTACCCTAGTGTCTAATTAGTGAGCTAAACTTGAAACGGAATAAATTTTATAAATTAATTGATTAATTACCATAATATTCTTCCTTTTTATAACTAATTAGCCACATACGAAATATTTATGAAATATATATAGAGTAATTATATACACAGGGAGGATTATATTCAAATACAAACACCCCTTAAAATACAAACGTGTGGATTGATTAGGATCGTTGGATTTTGAAATTGGATGGATAGGATTGATTTAATTATTTATAGGGATTTTAAGAGTTAATTCCATTTTTGGTCCTAGACTTATTATGGTGTCGACAATTTTCATCCTCCATAATTAAAATTGCCATTTAGTAGCCACCGTTATTCAACGATGGACACTTTTGCTCCTCTGTGAACTTCTCCGTCTCTTGGCTGTCTATGAGAAGGGCAAACAGGTCTTTTAATTGGTCTTCTTCTCTAAGCGTATTAGTCAACTGATTACTACTTGTACTCCACAACGTTGACGAACAGAACCAGCTCAGAAGTGCGAAGACCACAGTAACCCTAATCTTCTCGAAGGCGAATGTGAAGGCGAGGATGTAGGGAGCAAGCACAATGGAAGGCGTCAGACGAGGCGACAACAATACCCCCGGTAATTTTGGATTTTTATGCGTTGTATGTATACGTATGCGAATAATAGCGAAACCCTAGGTGAATTTGAGTGTTGTGTGTATGTAGTGAACATAATAGTTGCAAAATCGTATGTGTTTTGTTAATGTGTGGTAAAATATGAAATAGGTTGATTTGTTATGCTTGTTGGTGGTATATATAGTGTGAGTTGTGGGAGTTGTGGGTATATAATGAACTGATAAAGTGCAATTTCCTTAGCTTTGCTTTAAATATTCTGTACATGTCAGCGGTTGTTTGTTGTTTGATATACATATGCTTTGAATGGTGTGGTTGGTGTTTCACTTTAAATGTGCAGTACATCTCCATTTGTTTTTGTATTCAAAGGGGGACCACATGGGGCAGTAGCTTTTTTTTTTTTCTTTGAAAGGGGACCACAATTTGCTTTGTCTGTTTCTCTGTTTTGTTGCTTTGTTGACTTATAATTAGTAAACTGTTTTAATTGTTGTGTTGCTTTGTTGCTTTGTTGCTGTGTTGTCTGTTAAATTGCTACATAGATGGAGGAAGTAACACAGCTAAATTCAATCTGAAGTTAAGACATGGTGGTCGTCTTAAGACACATGGAATTGGATATATTGGAGGGGTTGTTAACAGTTTTCATTTAGACATTGATTTGTGGGGCATGATGACTCTTAGGGATACAATTGAGGAGTTGGGTACAATATGTTAGACACCTTTAAATATTTCACCCCTACTGGTAGTGACACCCTATTTGAAATAAGTAATGATAGCGATTGTTGGGCTATTTGCGATGTTGGAATGTTTCCCAAAGAGATCGAGGTTTGGGTAGTAGGTGGTGTAGAAGGTGATGATGAAGCACCATCAGTAGAAAGTGAGGGTGATGAAGAATCTGGAGATTTTTTAGATGACTTTGAGAACAGTGCTGATGAAGTGGGAAATGATGACCAAGAGTTTGAGGCCAATGTTGACAACAATGTGGAGTTTGATGGGGTAAGAGAAAGTGGACAACCAGTAGCTGGGGTAAGAGAAAGTGAACAACATGTTGGTGGGGACAGTACTAGGGTTGTAGACAATGATCATGGTCTACAATTGTCTGATGAAGACAGTGGTAAGGACAGTGATGAAGAAGGCAAAATGAAATGGCCAGAATTTAGGTCTACCACTCAAATGCGTACCCCAAAATTCTGTGTTGGTTTAACATTTGCATCAAAGGTAGAATTCAAAGATGCAGTCCACAATTATGGTTTCAACAATGGTAAGGAATTGAAGTTTATTAGGAATGACAAAGAGAGGGTCTATGTTAGATGTAAACAAGTTGGCTGCCCTTTCAGAATTAATCTTTGGAAAGTTAAAAATGCCTTGTCATGGAGAATTGTCAGTTATAATGAATTGCATGATGGCTGTGGTTGGGTTTATGAGAACACCATGGTTAAATCAACTAGGATTGCAAAGAGATTGATGAAAGAGATTGGTGGCAACAGCAACTGGACCACTGCAGAATTTAGAGAGAGGGTTAAAGCAGATGAGGGGTTTGATTTGTCCACCAAGCAAGCCTATAGAGCTATGAGAAAGGCAAAGGAAGTCATTGAAGGTGAAGCTATTGAATTTTTCAACAAAATATGGAGCTACAAGTTGGAGATTGAAAAAACAAATCCTAACACCACATGCAAGGTAAAGGTAAGTGACTTACTATATGATGGAAAACCTAGGTTTCTAAGGATGTATTTCTGCTGGGAGGCTTCAAAGGAGGGATATAAGTTCTGTAGGAAGCTAATTGGAGTTGATGGTTGTCATCTAAAAACAAAATTTGGAGGTCAATTATTAACAGCTATTGGGATTGATGGGAATGACAGTATCTTCCCACTGGCTTATGCCATTGTTGAAGGAGAAACCAATGATTCATGGATCTGGTTCTTGAATTTCATTAAAACAGACCTAGAAATCACTCGAGAAGCAGAACAGCAACTTACATTTATCTCAGGTATAAACATTTATCTCATACCAGTGTATGTTTTCTGTTTTCTGTTTACATTTATCAAAGGAAGCTAATTGTAATATGTTTTCTGTTTTTAAATTGGTTGCAGACAAACAGAAAGGGCTTCTACCAGCTTTTGTAGAAGTGTTTCCATATGCCTCACATAGATTTTGTGTGAGGCATCTTCATGGGAACATGAAGCTTGCAGGATTTCAAGGCAAAGCAATGAAGGATGCACTCT